CCTCAAAGCTCTGATTATGGTGATACTTTCATGAATGCCATGGAAGATGAAAACGTGTTATTCTTGGAGAATATTGATGTTCTTCTAGCCGAGCACAAGATTGAAGAAGCAATAGAGGCAATAGATGCTAAAGAAAGAAGTCAACCTGAGCTGAAAAGTTCAGGAGAGACTTCATCTGCTGAACCATCATCTTTTAAGTCTGCTTTGTCTAAAAGAAAAAAGATGCTCGAGAATCAGCTGGTTGAGATCACAGAACGACCCTCAATTGGTATTGTCGAACTTAAGAAGGCCTTGTCTGGTTTACTCAAGCTCGGGAAAGGTTCTTTGGCACATCAGCTACTTATTAAGTCGTACAGATCTCGTCTCCAGAAAAGTATTGAGGCTTTTCTTCCCCTTTGTCCTTGTTATCCCGAGACTTATTCGGCCACATTGTCTAACCTTGTATTCTCTACCATTTCTTTGACTACTAAGGAATCCGGCATGATGTTTGGTGACAATCCTGTTTATAGCAACAGAATTATTCAGTGGGCAGAAAGGGAAATTGAATACTTTGTACGGTTGGTTAAAGAACACGCACCACCTTCTGATGGAGCTCCTGCTTTACATGCCGCAAGTGTTTGTGCTCAGGCCAGTCTTAATCACTGTAATGCCTTGGAGAAACAAGGCCTTAAACTGTCAAAATTGCTCTTGGTACTTTTGCGCCCATATATGGAAGAAGTCCTTGAGTTGAACTTTATACGAGCCAGAAAAGTGGTTCTGGATTTTGCTTCAAGTGATGAAGGGAAACCATTATCACCTCGCTTTGCATCTCCGTTATCTACATTTGCAACTACGTCTGATACCTTGCTTGTTGAAAGTGGAATGAGATTCATATATGTTGTCAAAGTAAGGTCTCAATCCTTATTATTAATGTCCGATCATCTGTTTGCTTACGTGTTAATACTGTATCTCAATGCGCTTAGATTGACGTAGTGCACTGCGCTATCTTAGTTTGCAGAATTTGCCCTCTTTCCTCCATCCCCTCGTTTTCTGATTCCCCTCGATAAAGGCCTCCCTCCCCTTGTTATAGTTGTATTGCAAGTTCTGCATAACTTGGCTTATAGTTGTGCGTATTGTTGCAAGAATTCTAAGCAATTTGTAACTTATAATGTTCTTCTTATAGACCTCCATGATTGGCCTTTCTGGACACAGCTGAATCTGTCGAGAGATTGGTAGATCAAATCAGATACTTTATTCTCTTCATTCTCTCTCTCTCTCTGTCTCTCTCTCACTCACACACACACACACACACACACACACACACACACACACTTGTATATTCAACTACTTAATTCATTAGCAGAAATAGGAAGAACATTGGGGGCTAAAAAGTGTCTGCTTGGGCGAAGAAAACAAATATTTCTTGAGCAGAAAATAGTATAAAAAATGGAAGTGCCACTCTGTCAAAGAACCTTTCTGCTGAAGGAAGAAGAAAAGCTATGTCCTGTATGTAACATACTAATGTCTGCATATTCAGCATGGTGGCGCAACTACTATTTACAAGTGCAGCATATATGTGAATATGTGTTTGATTTCTCTCTTTCTCAGCACATGATTTCTTTCTTAGGATGACCTACAATGGTGTGCCGCTTAAATAGATGTCTCAAGTATTTTTCAATGCTCAAGTAGGAGCACAGATTGATGTTTGAGATTGCTTGGAACTGCAACATATGAAAAAGGACAATAGAACAATAGCAGTGCATCAGGCATCTGTTTCTTTTAATGGCTTAATAATAATAATCTGTTCAACAACTTTGTCCTCCTCTGCAGGAAATAGTGGAGAAGCTCACCCAGTTAGTCATTCTACATTTTGGAGCTAACATATTGACCAGAATTTCACATCTTTTTGACAAGTATGTGGATGCATTGATTAAAGGTCTACCTGGTCTCTCTGAGGATGACAATCTCACAGAGCTGAAAGAACCTGTTCTTTTTAGAGCTGAAACAGACTCTGAGCAGCTTGCTCTATTGGGAACTGCATTTACCATTGCTGAGGAACTATTGCCTATGGTTGTATCTAGAATTTGGAATCTTCTTAATGAAAGCAAAGAAGTGGGCTCTGAAAATATGATGCCTGCCGCAAACAATACTGTAGAACTCAAGGATTGGAGGCGTCAACTTCAGCATTCACTGGACAAGCTTAGAGATAATTTCTGTCAGCAATATGTTGTTAATTTCATATACTCAAGAGATGGTGATGCACGATTAGATGCTCAGATTTATTTGAGTGGTGTCGGGGAAGATACAATTTGGCACACCGATCCGCTACCTTCATTGCCATTTCAGGTACTGTAATTCCTTTCTGTCCTAGTTTCAAAATGATCCTTACTAATTCGTGCAGTGAATAGCACACCCTAGTTAATACTTTTGCCCATCTTTGGTTTGCTCTCTTCTTTTTCCGGTTTGCTAAAATGGTGCAAGATTAATTTAGTTTTCCTTTTTCTGAATTGGAAGAGCCGAATGTGTAATTTCCCTTTATCCCAATTGGAATAATGCTGCGTCTAGTGAGTTTCGGATTCATCCTTTATGTTGTTTTCTTGTTAGTATGTAACTCCCCTTCCAAAACCTTCAGCTCCAGTTTTTTTCTGCTTGTCACCCATCACTACTTTATAGCAGCAACGTTTGGAGAATCTTAGTATTTTGTTTTTATTAGACAACCATTCATCAAATTATTCAGCTGATGCTCGTTAGGCTTTATTATAAAGTTCAAGCAGGGGTTGCTCCCTGGGATCTGAAATTTGTAGCATTGTGCACTAAAAATATAGATTTATGTAGTCTCTCTGATGGTCGTTTAGAACTGTTTGACATTTTTTATCGACCTGTCCAAGTTCTAATGTTCTGCAATTTTTTCTGGAGTGCTTTCAATAGTTTCTGCTAAATGAGAACCTTTATAAAATACTTCACCGTTCAAATATGTAGGCATTATTTGGTAAGCTGCAGCAATTAGCAACTGTGGCAGGAGATGTTCTTCTAGGAAGAGAGAAGATACAGAAGGTTTTGCTTGCCCGGTTGACAGAGACTGTGGTAATATGGTTGTCTGATGAACAAGAATTTTGGAGTGTTCTAGAGGATGAGTTGGCTCCTTTGCAGCCGCTGGGTTTGCAGCAGGTATTTTGTTTTATCTACTACCTTGCCTTTAGCTGTACTACCTCAATATAATACAGTATAGCACAGTTTCTTCTTTACTTTTCCTCTCCTTCTCACCTGTCATCAGGCCTACTTCCCGGGTTTTTCATTCAATTCGGAATAGTGTGTAGGAGCTGTTATAATTTTGTTAAATTTGAACTCTGTATGAAGAGTAGTACAACAGAATAAATTGTATGGCTCTATTGCAGATTCAAGTCCTTAACTGTTTAGAAATTCCTGAATGGACATTTCTCAAGGATATGTAGTTGGGAATAGTACAGTGATTAATGTCTTACCTTTTTCTGAAAGTAACTCTCTGGGTATATAGGTGTTTGAAAATGAGGGTATCTTGTCCATGCCCTTATTACTTTAGCGGTTTAGCCCAATCAGTATAAGATGTTAATTGGTAAGTTCAACAGTTAAGACCTTAAACTATTCTGCCATTAGCCGTTAACTTTGGTGAAATACCAAACGGATACCTTAGTCTTAGGCTGGGGTATTTCTATGTTAACATTCAGATTTCTGATATTCAACACGAAATACTCCCTTGTTAAGCAAGTATTTTGATTTTCTATAAGTTATGATAACACCTTCTCCCTATCTTGATATCAACTTTTTGTTTGACAGTTAATTCTTGACATGCACTTCACTGTTGAAATTGCACGATTTGCTGGCTATCCATCCAGGCAGGTGCATCAAATAGCGTCAGACATAATTGCACGTGCAGTCAGGACGTTTTCTGCCAGGGGCATAGATCCACAAAGGTATACCTTGTTCACTTAGCTTACTGCTTTTCACCTTCCTTAGGGGTATGCTCATCATTGAATGTCTTTTCTTTATCAGTGCCCTACCTGAGGACGAATGGTTCACGGAAACTGCAAAAGGAGCCATAAACAAGCTTCTCCTAGGTGGTTCTGGATCAGATACATCGGAGATTGATGATGAACACCTCATTATGCATGATGGAGGAATGTCGGACTCTGATGGATCGCCTTCTTCCCTCTCAAGCGTGGATAGTTCTGAGTCATTTGCTTCAGCACAAATGGGTGATTTGGATAGCCCTGTGTATTTCTCAGATCCTGAGAGTTGAACAATGCTGTCCAATTACTTATTAGAAAAATTGTATCTGTTGCAAGTGTATGTGTTATGTTAGGATGGTAGGAGAAATGTAAGTACATGTGTTCCCCCCTCTTCTGTTGTATTCAAATAGTAGCCACATTATCAATTAATTAGTAGGGATTTAAGGGCTATCTGCCTCAAGATTCTGTTGTGAAGGATCCAGGAATTTATAGAACTAAGTGTCGCACTCAACGGTGCAGGGGAGTAGGTGAGCAACAGACCTTAAGCTGTAAACGAAAAACACAATTACGTATATCATATCCCAGGACAGTTAAACTATGTAATACTACTAGTTAGTTATTACTATGAGTATCCTTTTAATTAAAAGAAAAATCTCAATTATCATCTACAAGTCAAAAAGTAGTACAGAGAATATTAGGGACATACATATTTGTCCTTTTCCTTTTTTTTATTTTTCGATAGAGCGGTAATAGTTTTTTGTTTCCACCAACATAGAGTGGTAGTTGATCGCTCCAATTCTTCGATTTTACTAGGAGGTAATCAAAGAGAGAAAATTGCTAATAATATACTTAATTGTAATTAAGTTAATTATTCACTACATTTTCTTTTCCAATTATAAAAAAGGGAATAAAAATTACCCCCTTGCTCCGTAATTATTCGCCAACTTAATTAGATTTGGCCACAATTTTATACTTTTCGAAACCATATAATAAGCTTTTCTATGAAGTTGTCTATAAAAAAATGAATATAAAATTCATGAAAAAGCGCGGGAAAATAGAAGCTTAACTAAAATTAGGGCTTCTTTTGCTACTCATTACCAAATCAACTGAGCTATGGAGAGAAACACCGGCGGAATTTCAGGCACAATTGATTTAAACGGCAATCTGCCGCCGGGGAATGTCGTGGATCTCACCGGGAAAGTGCACCAGCTGCCATGCTGTATTAAGTTCAATGGTCCATCTGATGTTTCACAGTACTTCAAACCAAAACCCACTGGTATAATTATTCCATTTCTATTGTGCAAGTCAATCTATACTCCTTTGTGAACTTGAATTTTTATTTTTCGTGTATTAAATTTTAGTTATTGGAAGAACTTTTTAAAAAAAAATTGTTAGTCAGTGTTTGAATATGTGAATGAAATTGAAGGTGTAATTGTTGACGGGTTAAATGTGGAGGAAGCTCATTTTAGAGGAAGGAAGCTTCAGGGAACGACTGTTGCAATTCCTCATGGCTACTCTGGTAAACTCTCTTTTATTTATTTTTTTTTTTAAGAAAAAAAAACAGTTGCATTCAGACCAGCTTGCCTTTTAAAATAAAATTGAACGTAGTATAGGGAAACACTGGTATGTTGATTATTATTTCCTATCCAGCATAACTGATTAGGAGGCATAATTACTGAATGGCTCTGAATCAATTGATATGAACTTTATGAGAATCATATGCCAAAAGCTTGCTGTTGATGTGGCAGAGCCTAAGGTCATTTAACCACAGTGGAAACCCATATAAACGACATGAGATTGAATCATGGTGGTAGTTGGCTTCCAACTTTTGATGATTTAACAGAAATTTTGGTTTAGCTTCTGATTTCAATAGGCACTGTCAATCTAAGAACAACGGTCTGGAAGGAAAATGTCCAGATGAACTTAAGATATATGCTTTTTGAATGATAGTCTATTGTCTTTCACCTTTTGTATTGGTGGACTTGAAGCAATAATTTATGTCCATTCAAACGATGTACTCCCTCCATCCCAATTTTGATACAATTCTGTGATACAAACTTCTTAATATGTATCACTGCATGTGTTGCTGTTTCCGGTGGTATCATCTTTTTCCTTTTTTTTCTTTCTTGAACTTCATAGAGTGAAACTACCTATATGCGCACTCAGCTGCCACCTAAAGTCTTACAATGATTATAGTTTAAATTTATGTTAAGGACCTTAATCTTGTTAACTTTATTTTATTTGATACCTCAAGACTTGCTTCTTCAGGGTTTGTCTTGGGAAAGAAAATGCCCGATGAGAAAAGAAAAAGGTCTGTGGAAGATTCAAGTTGCTGGGAGATGAAGGCGAAGTTCCAAAACATAACATCGTGGAATCATGATTCTCTTCCCTCAGAAAATGATGCTTTCTTGCGTGCCTTCCACCTATTTTCTGTTACAACAGCAGTACGTTTCTTCTTGATACTTGTTACCAGGAAATGCCTTTCCTGCTCTATCTGTTTGATTATCCGTAAATTTTTTAAGCAAGTGTTCATCTCAAAGCTGCTTCTTAGACAATAGCAGTTTCTACTGACTATGATACCTGCTTTGACGTGACACCATGGTCGCCTCAATTGTTCTTTGGATTGTGCTGTTCATGATGAAACATGCATCACCGAGTCAGCTAGTTTTGTTGTTAAACATTTGAGAGTATATTTTACTTATCCAAAGTTTGACTTTCCTTAGGTAGAAATGAATTGGAGACTGTCTTGGTTTTGTTGAGAGGCGTATCAAATAAGCACCAGTAGTCTCGATCTGCAACCAAATGTTTGGCTAGTTTTGGTTCTCATTTTCTTTCCTCTGATGAACACTAATGTTGGAACATGAGTCATATAGACGAAATATATGTAGGAGCTGCAATTAAAATGGTCTGATGCATTTGTATGGATTCATTACGCTCCTTTGAGTACCTAGTGATGTGTAGCATTTTGTTGAGCCTTTGTTAAAGTTGCTTTTCATTAATGCAGCTGCACCAACCAATCAGTGTTGAAGACCTGGAAGCTGCATCAATTGATCAAGAATTAGAGTTATGAATTGATCAAGATGCTGAGATAAGTAGATTACGTCCACAAGGAGCAGTACATTTCGAGCTCGTTTATGCTCTTTGCCAGTTTTTCATTATATATCTATTCAATCAGGATTCTGTTTATCCTTCATCTAATATCTATAAGCGAGAACATATTAAACACATGTATTTCTGATAGCTCAAAAAATTCCCTTCGTTTCTGTAAGTCTGCATTCTCGAGGTATAGTCATAGATTTATACCTAGTTTTATGTGACATCCTTGGAAGTAATGCGTTTACTACATTGTCACATGAACTACTTCGCCTGTGTAATTACATTTCCTCTTTTTTTCCTTCTTTTTTCTTTGGGAGGGGGGATGAGGGTGTGTGGAGGTGGTTGGGGGAGGTTGATAGTAGCAGCTATCTTCCGCTCTACAAAATAACAAGGTAGAGAACAAAGAGGACGACTGATGACTGATAACTATCACATGTTAAAGTAAAATGCTGACTACGTTTAATGAAGAGTTCAAATTGATGATAATTCCTCCCTTTATTTGGACTGTGTATATTATTATTATTATAAGGTGTGTTTGGCATGAAGGAAACTACTTTCTAGAAATTAAGTCATGTAGAAAATAATTTTGGCAACGCACCAAAAAATGTTTTCTATTAAAAAAAAGGCTTTCTTCAGTTACGTTTTTCTCCATTAATCCATTTGAAGTAGTTCCTGAATTTTGGAGAGTGTTGAATAAGGACAGTTTCTTGGCAAATAACATAAAAGAGGAACAAAAGTGAAAAAACAAAAGATTCATAATTATCTAATGAGCCCAATTTAGAAAATAAACTTTCCTACTCAATAAATGATATTTTGGTCTAAACAAAATATATAGAGTTATATTGATAATTAAAAGCATCGTCTTAGCACATTAGCTGGAATAGCTCAGTTGGTTAGAGCGTGTGGCTGTTAACCACAAGGTCGGAGGTTCAAGCCCTCCTTCTAGCGCTTCAAGTATTTTTGCTTTTCTTTTCTTACATGGTAATTAGTCCATTATTTGAAAATTTAGTCCTTATTAGTTTCTTCTTACTCCACTCCACGCCAATTCATTCAAATAGATACTAACGTACCTTAAGAGAAATTTTATGTGTCACCAAAGCTACAACAACAACAATAACCTCTCCCCGGAGGAATATAGAGGCTATTTTCGAAAGACCCTCAACTCCGGAAAACGAAAATAGACAATACAATTTGTGGCGACAAAAATCAGAAAGATAATATTTCCTCTGTTCTAATTTTTGTGAACCTGTTTGACTGAGCACGGAGTTTAAGAAAAAATGAAGACTTTTAGAATTTGTGGTCCTAAACAAGCTAAAAAGGGGTCCAGAGTATTTGTGTGGTTATAAAAGTTTCTCATTAAGGGTAGAATTGGAAGTTTAAGCTAAATTGTTTTCAAGTTTAGAAAGGGGCCATTCTTTTTGGAACAGACCAAAAAGGAAATAGGTTTACATAAACTGGAACGGAGGAAGTATAAGCATCGTAAGATACAGAAAATGGATGGAAAAACAATAACAACAATCAGTAATAGAGCCACGATACTATGGAAACAAAAGACGAAAAAATAGTGTGGACACAAACTTACACCACTAATAACCCAAAGACAACACCCTAACATGCTAGCCCTACCCGCGATACGAAGAAAGAAAAACGCTCGACTCCCTCCTAAGTAACGACCCGATCGGTCGTTTTGCCTTTTAGAACCCCGTTCCCCTAAATAAAGCTTCCCGTTTGCTTTAGCTAATTTACGACTTGCGGGGGCGGTCGGTTCGGGAGTTGGAAGGGTTTTGAGTGAAATATGCCTAATTGTTTCTTTAAGGTTTTCTTAAAAGGCCAAGTTTGACTTCGGTCAACTTTTTGGGAAAACGGACCCGGACTCGTGATTTGATGGTCCCAGGAGGTCCGTGAAAAAATATGGGACCTGGGCGTATGCCCGGAATCGAATTCCGAGGTCCCGAGCCCGAGTACTGAATTTTTATTGAAAATTGTTAAACTGAAATCCTAAGAGTTTAATAAAAAGGAAAAAATGCTTGATCACATAGATATCGGGCCCGTATGTTGGTTCCGGAGCCCGGTGCAGGTTCGGTATAATATTTTAGTCTTGTCTGTGAAATTTGGTGAGAAACGGGATTGATTTGATGTGATTCGGATGTTCGGTTGAAAAGTTAGGAATTTAGGTGTTCTTGAGGATTTCATGCATTTTTGGTGTAAATCCATGGTTTTAGGTGTTAATTATGCGATTTGATTGCTTGAGCAAGTTTGCACATGGTTGTAGGACTGGTATGAGTGTTCGGAGTGGAGCACCGGGGGCTCGGGTGAGATTCGGGCATAGTTGGAGTTGAGAAAACATACCAGTTTTCTGGTATTTTTTGGCCCCTGCTGCAGGTCTCGCAATTGCGAGTGAGACATCGCGTTTGCGAATTTGGGGCGGCTGGGCAGGAGTCGCAATTGCGACCTTATTCTTCGCATTTGCGAAACCAGGGGGTTCGCATTTGCGAACTTTCCTTCGCTTTTGCGATCGAGGCAGGGGGAGGGGATGTTCGCATTTGCAGTCGAAATGTCTCAATTGCGATATCGCAATTGCGAGCCCAGTGTCGCAATTGCGACATCAGAGGGCTGGGAAGAGTTTTTAAAAACGGGACTTAAGAGCATTTATTTCATTTCTACACTACACTTGGGCGATTTGAGAGCTTCCAAAGAGGGATTTCAACATAACCTTGTGAGGTAAGTTACTTCCACGCATCATTAGTTTAAATACATGTATATTAGGTAGATTAAACACTAAAAATTAGGTGAAATCAAAGGGGTAGAGCTAGACCTAGGGTTTTAATAAAACTAAGATTTAAGCATGAAATTTATTATGAAATGGACTAGAAATCATATATTATTGATCCTTAGGTTGTAGAGAACAATTTCCTTCGAAAAATCTCGGAATCCGGGCACGTGGGCCCGGGGTCGGAATTTAGAAAACTTGTAGAAAGGGTTGGGAAATTACTTAAATAGTTAGGGATTCGGCCTTGTAAGCCTTTATTGACTAGTCTTACTATTTTAACTAGTTTGCTGATCGTTCGGCTCCAAATTGAGAGTTTGGGCTTGTTCTTGATATCGGAAGTGCGCTTTGGAGCGAGGTGAGTCTCCTTTCTAACCTTGTAAGAGGGAATTGTCCCCATAGGTATAATAATTGAATTAATTGTCATTATATTCGGGGGCTACGTACGCATTAGGTGACGAGAGTCCGTACGTAGTGGCTATTATGTTAAGTTCGGGTAGTCCAGGACCCATAAGCATGCTCTACGTGACATTCTAGTACGTGTTGATTAATTCGGATTTATATGAACTATTTTGAGTAAGAAGAATGAGACTAGAGAATGACCCTTATCCTGTTTTGGTCCTTTAAGGGAGAATACTTGGTATTTCTGTGTATGGCTACTCCTCATATACATGTTAATTGTTAATGTTGCTTGTTAATGAGCTTATTTTCTATTTGACCGCGTCGCATGGGTGATTCGCGAGCGGAGTAGTAGATGCATCTATGGTTCGAGCCGTTCGACCCTCAGCAGTGCATAGTTTATTTTATGTTGGATTGGGCCGTACGTTCCACGGTGATTATTTGCATATGTTTTGCTTAGAAATCCTTCAAGGGCTAAGATACATATTTGCTTAGACTATAGACAAGCATTCTTGTTAGTGTTTGGTAAAGAACTGTTACTCCATGATTATTAAATGTAAATAGCTTGAGATATCCATGCTTATTATAAACTCTTCGCATATTAATTGACCCTAGTAAGTATCAAGTCGACCTCTCGTCTCTACTTCTTCGAGATTAGACGGGATACTTACTGGGTACATATTGTTTATGTACTCATACTACACTTCTGTACTTAAATGTACAGGATCTGAGGCAGGTGGATCTGGTTATCATTCTGGTGCATATCCGTGAGCGGACTTGGGACTTCTACGGTGAGCTGCTTTCCCTCCATGTCGACCCGCAGCCGAAGAAGTCTTTCTTTGTATTTCTATTTTCTGTCTCTTTGGACTCAGACAGTAGGATAGTATGATATTCTTTTGGATGTATATTCTACTAGTTGCCCGTAGCTTGTGACACCAGGTTCTGGCACACACTTTGGTAGACGATTACTTTGGGGTTGTATAATTATATTACTTACAGTATTTCGCTTTTCTGTTTTAAATTCCAAGTTAAGTGTTTATTCCACTTCTTTCTAATTAAGAAGCAACATAAGAATTTTAGAAATGTTTCCGCAACGGCTTGCCTGACAAGGGTGTCAGGCGCCCTCATGACCTATTGTGGAAATGGATCGTGACAACAGGGTATCAGAGCCCTAGGTTCACGTAGGTCTCACGAGGTATGGGAAAACCTGATAGGGTCTTGTTGATCGGTACGGATACGTCTGTATTTATCTTCGAGAGGCTATAGGATATTAGGAAAGACTACTCTTTATTCATTCCCTATCGTGCAGTGCTTAGTGTACTAAATTTTCCTCTTCTATTCTCTCACAGATGGTGAGAACTCGCACCGCTGACGTTCCGGACCCAGGAGGAGCTGCTCCCCCCGTTGCTAGAGGTCGAGGTAGAGGCCGGGGGAGGGCACCGGCCCGTGGTAGGGGACGAGGGCGACCCAGAGCCGTTCCAGTTGCACCACCAGTAGATCCTGTGGAGGATCCTATTATGGAGGAGCAAGGCGAGGTGCCCGCAGCTGAGCCTACCCCGGTGGATTTCATGATAGCACCGGGATTTCAGGAGGTCATGGGCCGCATGCTACGGTTCATGGATACTATGACTCAGGCGGGTTTATTTCCAGCAGACCCAGCTACTTCACAGGCAGGAGAGGGAGCCCAGACCCCTACTGCTCAGGCTCCAGGTCACACAACTGCAGTGTATCAGACTCCGGGTGTACTACCCGCAGATGGGGCTCAGCCAGTTGCTGCAGTGGCACCCCAGCCCAGGCCAGTTGTGGATGGTGATCCACAGAAGTTATTGGACAGATGGAACAAGCTTCACCCTCCAGTCTTCGGGGGTGAGCGTCATGAGGATGCTCAGGACTTCATACACAGGTGCAGGGACAGGCTGCACAATATGAGGATATTCGAGTCGCATGGAGTTGACTTCACTACTTTTCAGCTTGAGGGCAGGGCACGTAGATGGTGGCAGTCCTATGTACTTGGCAGGCCAGCAGGTTCTCCTCCCCTCACTTGGGGTCAGTTCACTCAGTTATTCCTGGATCGATACATTCTGCCCTCTG